CAGAATATGAGCAAGGTCCTGGAGAGAAGATGGTCATACATTTACAGGATGCTCCAGATACACTTGCAGATAAATTAGAAGAAAGTGAACTTACAATTTTCGTAAATTCTGCTCCGATGAAAGCTTCAGATTTAGTTGAGGAAGTTAATTCTGGTACTTTATTTAATTTCTTTGCTTTCAAAAACTATTTAAAAGTCGAAACCAATAATGATTAATTATATATTTTTAGAATCGACGGAATCTAAAAACATAGATGAGAATATTCGTGGCCGTCGTAAGGTTAGGTTTGCAGATGATGTTAAAAAATATGATGGTGGCGAACAAGATGAAATGGAAGACACGGATTCAGATGATAATGAAAATCCCGAATTTGAAGATGGTAACGATGAAGATATCTACTACGATGATGATGACTATGATGAGGAGGATGATGACGACTACGAAGAGGAAGAGGAGGACTACGAAAGGGAGGATGATAACGACGATGAGGAGAAGGATGATAACGATTACGAGGATGACGAAGAAGATGATGACGAAGGGGATGAGTGGGAAAAAGTTGCTAGTAGAAGCTTTGCTTTCAATAAATCTAAGATGAAGAATCCAGAAAGAGATATTAACGACGAGGAGATTGCATATGCCGAAAGCGAGAGCGATATGGAAGATATTCTATGTCAAGACGAAGATGATGACCCAGATCTTGATGGGACATTAAAATGGAAATCAAATTTGACCGAAAAAGCAAAAAAGCTGTTTTACACTAATCGTCGAATTAATATTATGCAATTGATCTATAGTAACGATAAAACGCCAGAAGAAATTGCATCAGGAGAATTTTCTGAATTATTAAAAGTTGAAGCAGCCTCCAATGAGAAAGACAATGTAGAAGAGGAGAAAGATGATGAGGAATTTTTCAAGATTATAAAGTCTCAAGAGAAAGATTCTGATTCTGTGAATACTCTTGATTCCACCAAAGCATATTTAGATACAAGTAATCTCGATAGATGGGACGACGAAGTAGTTAGTATTATCATGGTTATTTGTGCCGTTGTTTAGGTAATATTCTGATTTAGAAAATTTTTTTTTCCTAGACTTTAGAATCTATTAGAAATAGGTTCATTACAGGCAGTCTCGATGATGATTCTTCTGCGGGAGAAAATAACAGTTCAGATAATGAAGTTCATGGAGAATATGAGGATCTTGAAACTGGTGAAGTGATCAAAGTTGAAGGATCCAAAAAATCCGAAAATGAAATTGAGCAAGAAGCTCTTGCGCAAAAAAGAGCTTTGTTTAAAAAAAAATTTGATGCGGAATATGATGAAAAAGATGGTTCTCCTAAGGTAGACTTTTATGATGAGATCAAAGAGAGAATTGCTAAGCAATTACAACTTAATCGTGAAGAGTTTGAAGACGATGATTCTCATACAAGAGCTATGGTTGAAGGATTTCGACCTGGTACTTATGTCCGAATATTACTCAAGAGAATGCCAATTATTACTTGATATTTAATGAATATTTATTTGTCAAAATACAGACACTTAGTTCTTTGGCTTTGGTATTCGCTCTACATCATTTCAAACCTACACCATTATATGTTATGGATGAGATTGATGCGGCCTGGATTTTCGCATTGTGTCAATCTTCGTTAACATTATTAAAGAAATTACTAAAGACGCACAATTTATTGTTATTAGTTTACGTAATAACATGTTTGAATTAGCGGATCGTTTAGTAGGAATTTATAAAATTCATGATCAGGTAAGATTCTTACGCGCAAAATGATATTTTTTATGAAATATTATTAATTTTTTTATGAATAATGCTATTTTAGACAAAATCCGTTACTATTGATTCGCATGAAATTGATAAAGAATTTGGAAAATAACTGTGTTAGTTATTAGCTATGTTAAATAATATAATGTCTATATTCACGTCAACTCAAAAAAAAAAATATCGGTCTGACCAATAAATTATATTTGTAGAGGCATTAATTTTTTCACTTGAATTTATAATAATTCAAAATTATTTTCAATAAAAAATTTTCTAATATAGGTAAAAAATCGATTAGTAAAATTGCTCAGTTGATAAGTAATCTAATTTTTTTGTTAAACCTTTTTGGAAGAACATCAATTTTTTAAAAATTTTTTTCTAAGCTATTTTATGATCAAGAAATTGAAATTTATTTCATAATATAATTTTTTTTAATAAATGATTCTAAAGTTATAAAATTATTTATTTTTACTGTAATATACTAACAAGTTCAATAAATTACAAAAGAAATTATAAAATAATAAATTAATAAATATAAAAATATATTTTTAAAAAATTAGTAGCAATATGAAATATATACTAATTTCTAGATTACACGTGATTTTTTTTTTGGCCGGCATTATTGAATTTGGCTGAAAGTAACATGTGATGAATGTGATAAACATCTATTTCTGGCAACAAAATTTATAAGAAAAGTTAAAAATACTCAAACTCTGACCTTACCTTATAGTTATATACTTTAAGAACCTTTACCTACTTATGACTTCTAAAGTTTTTAAAACCAGAAAAGATAATAGTTCTCGAAAAGAAGTTGAAAAGGTTGTTGCTATCGAAATAAAAAGAAAGTTGAAAATGGAAAAAAAAAAGAATCAGAAGATAAAAGATTCTAGAAAAGTTGAAATAGAGGAGAAAAAAGGTTAGTTAAGATGGCTTTTCAAATCTTAAATTTCAAACCAAGTTAGAAAAAAAAAAAAGTGGTTTTAAAAAATGGAACTTTTTGAAAAAAGAGTTCTAGAAAGTGAGAATGAAAAGATTGACTTATTATACTTTATAATATTCCGGTAATTTAGGAATTTATTTTTCTCGAGATGAAAAATCTTCGGATGCTAACGCTTATTCACAGCGTAGTAGAAAAGAGCATCCGAGTTACGGTATGCATAGAATTATAAATCCAGGAAATGCTTGGATATAGAAATACACGATATGCTACCTTTTATTGGAACTATTGATCAGAGAATACAATGCTAATCAATCAACATATCACGTTATGCTCTGATTGTTATATTATTCTTCCGGACAAAGGTTATGAAAACCTCCTTCAGGTCATTGTGGGGTCTGTGAAAAGTCATAAAGGTTGTCAAAGTATTATCAAATATGGTGTACATAGTGGCTTTATATTATAAACGAGATGCAAATATTATCTAACGAAGTAGAAAAAGTAGTTATTGCGATTTTTATAGTTAAAATAATTATAATAGCTTATATTTGTTAAATTTATTAGTTTGTTTTTTTTTTTTTTTTATACTGTATATATCTTAAAGCGTGTTTATTATCAAAATAAAGCATCTCTAAATCATAAACTCGAAATCATTTTCATTTAATAATAAATTGTTTTGTAGAAGTTGAACTAACGAAATTGCAATGTTACGCCCAGATCTAACTAATATTATAAAATATAGCACAATTAAACTTTAAAAATGTATATTTATACAAGTTTTCCATCATGAACCACGTAATACAAAGACGGTTCAAGAAGCAAAAGAAGCATAAGTTCAAAAAATAATCTTGTTGCTTAAATTGAATGACTACTAAAGGTCAAAAAAAATTTCATTAAACAGTATATGTTTAAGCAGATTGAGCACAAATATCATGAATTTGCTGTTTGAATTTGATTTATTAGTTACCAAATGATAGTAAGTTTCAAATAAGTTATTAGCTTTAATTCCTTCATTACAACATAAACAATTAATAAATTTGTTTTATTATTCGTTTAATTAAATGCTCTTGAACATTAAATGGAAAGTAAATAAGCTGCATTACCTTTACTTGATCTCGCCGAACTTACATCACAGTCATCTCCTAAGGATATTAAACGTGTAATTCATTTTCAAATACTCCCCTTACTAGTAAAACCTATGCTTTTTGTGATTGCCAACTGTAATTCCCGCTTCTTCACAAAATATGACAGTTCATCTCTTTCTATGGGAACAATTAACCTATAAATAGGTTTTTTTTTTAAAAAAAAAAAAATTAAATTAAGTATGAATTTTTTTGACATAAACAAGTAAATTTTTTATGCATAATTAAAATATTAATATACCCAATCCTTTGTTGCGCATGAAATTTCTCTCTCTAATCTTAAGTCTCAGACAATCCACAAACTATAACTAATTTTACCAATACTTGATTAAGAACCTTTCTCTTGTCTGTTGAAAACAGCAATTAAACATTCCGCATACATTTTCGGTAGCTATAACATGGGAGCAGAAGGAAATAATGAAGAAACAATAAAATTTATAATTTGGTCACGCATGTTTAAAACATTTCGATGTGAGGGGATCGAAATGCTAGCATAAATAGATAAACATTTGACAATCAATATTAATTAGAATAAAATCAGTAAATTCAAGACAAATAAAAAATAAATTATTCTACCAGGTGATAGATGAACTATTGTGTCTTCAATTTTGGCTCCGGGAATGCCAATATCTGGAACATGTGTAAATTGGAGGTGGGTTCTCGGAACCGGAATTTTTCGGGGCTTCGCCGGTCAATACATTTATGATACCAATTAAGCTCTGATGACGACAAGGAATTGGATTCAGCACCGAGAAATACTGGGGGAGGGGGGATAAAATTAAGATAGTAACTGAACCCGTTCGAAAATTAATTGATAAAATCAATTAGAAAGAATTTCAATCTTACTATCATGCTGCAAATTCCACTTAACGCAACATTTAAATTTTTTCTTAACAGAAAGTCAAATTCTTGATAATATAAATTTTTACAAACTTGATCATTTTTCTTTGAAAGTCCAGCATCATCCTTATGTAAAAGCCATGTCCTCAAGGGGTCGTTTTTGCTTATTAGTTTCTGTTATATGACAATAAGTTGAGAATCACGAATATCATATAATGGTTTGATACCAAATCCAAATAATCGAGGACCAGAAAGTTTGGTTGATAATTTTTGATTAATTTTCTAATAATATTAAATTAATTATATATAAATCATTATATCTTTGTTAATGAAAAATAAATTAAATACCTGTCAAAAAGTGTTGACTCCTGTTGTGGAAGATTTTGTGCTACTAAAACTCCACTCTGCAAGACCCTCCTCCTTCCAATTAATTGTATAACAAACTTTCACATCTAATACGCCGCCCAGATATCTCTGTTTCAATTATATAATTATTAGGAAATGGATATTGAGGAGTATTGTTTATAGATGTATGGGTTAATTTTGGTGTAGTAGGATAAGTTCAACATTATTAATATGAACGATAAATTCGCCCATTTGACCGGTAATGTGCTAAAAACAGACTGGAAAAAGTATCTATTAATTTAAAAGATTTCATTAGAATTTTTCTAATACAATTAAAAAAAAATTTACTAGAAACTTTCACTTTCTGGCGTAATAGGAATGGTTGTTTTTGCCATTTTGTATTTTGAAACAAAAATAGTTTCGCTAATTAAATTTTGTAACCTTCAACCTGCTATCTATTAAATCTAAAAAAAAAATACCTTTCAATTCCCGACCAAATTCCGAACAGGTTTCAAAGTTGCAAAAATTCTAGTTTCGAAAGTATTGTTCGATCTGTTTATTATCGTTGATCGGCAGTCGATCAAAATTCATTATTAACACTAAAATTTAATTAGTGATATGTTAATTTATCATAAGAATTCACCAGTTCATTTATACAAGAAAATGAGAATAAAACCATGCATTTGGTTTAAATAGTCCATCATTTCGCTACTGATGAGTTAAGTGATCCTTGAAATTTTCATGTGCTACCTTTCCAAAATTTTGAGATGGATGTTAAATTATATGCTAAAGAAAGATCGTGATAAAGTTTATTTTGGTGGTTTCTTTTCATTGTTAATTTTTGAGATTAAGAATTATCTTTACCTAAATAATCGGAATTTTTAAGCCATTTCATGCGTCATCTATAAGTAAATATTTCCGACTAATCAATTAAACAACTTACTAATAAAAATATCATGATGCTTGCAGTTGCGAAATTTAAATAAATTTTCTTCATTTTTACCAAAATTCTTTATTTTTGTTATTTTCGTTATGTAAAATATAAAATATTTTTTAGATTAATGTTTGATCTTGAATTTAAGAATTTTATAGTAGATCAATTCTGTTTTAGTACATATACCCAAGCCACAACAGAGGGGTAAATTTTATTTACTAATTCTTTTATTATCAAGATGTTTTATGGTCATTACAGTTGTGCTTGGATCATTAAAGTTTTAGAACCTAAGATCCCATTATGGATCTTGATGATTGCAGTTCAGGTTAATAAATTTATTTATTTTTTTTTTTTTTAAAAAAAAAAATAACGTTAAATTTAAACAAATTTAGTTCGTTGATTTCTTATTTTCTTTCTTTATTTTAATTGAGATAGAAGAAGGTAATTCAAAAAAAAAAAAAATTTTTTTATGATCAAACTTTTGACCTGATATTCTTTTTAAGCCCACATTGTTCGTGGATATACAAAAGTGAATGATTTAAAATTGGTTTCTATTCCATATACTCACTCTTTAATCGCCGTAATTGGATGGAGCATATTATATGGATCATGGTATAGATTTTCTGGTTATGATGGTGGAAATCGTGCCGCGTTCTTGATAGGATTGGCTGTGCTTTCTCATTGGTTTGAAGATTTGTTAGTCCATAATGAAGGTAAAAAAAAAAAATATGTTACTCCTTTTTTCGGTAAAAAAAGATAATAATAATTTTTTTTAAAAAAACAAAAAAAAAAAAATAGATTTATTATTATTGACGATTGATGATAATGCACCAAAATATGGATTCAAATTATGGGATTATCCCGTAATACATCATCCATTTGAATTACTATTATTCTTTGGTTCGTTTTACTATTATTTAGTAAGTACTGAAGTACATCCATCAAAAATTTATTCACCACAAAATGATCAAACAAGGGAAACTACTACAACAATCTCGAATTTAACTAATAACGCTACTAATCATCATGAAGGATCACAAAATTATTGGGCTAGCAAATGGGGTTCGATTATATTATCGGTAGATTCTTTCTTGACCATTTCTGGTGGATTTGTACCTCCTCCTGAAAATTGTAAATTATTATGTATTATTATGATTTTTTTATTTTTGAAAATTACCTATCTTGCTCATCAATTGGATAAAGTTAGAGTTCCTAAAAATATATTAACACAAGTAATTAAAAAAACTAGTTGAGATTTTTTTTTTTTTTTCTTCTTTTGGTAAATAATAATGTAACATCCTTAAAAGTAAAATATGAATCAAACACAATACTATTTATGTTTCATGCATTGTTAACATTGTTAATTAAGGATCCATGCATTGTTCTATTACCGGTATTTACCGGTATTCCATTACTTCCATTATGTCACCTGTGGGCTGTCGATCGTTATCACCTTGTTTATTGGTCCGATTTCACGTGATGAACAACAAATACGAACGAAAAAATTTTTAATTTTTCGTTCAAGAGGAAAAAATTTATTATTTTAATCACAACTTTATATAATAAATAAGAATCTTTTGCAATTCATTTAAAAACAAACATTATATCTATTTTTACAATGTAAAATCATTAAAAATGATCACATGAAGACTGAGAAATCACGAAAACTATAATTAAATAATATAATTCATTCAAAAATCATTATCCAAGCTTTCTATGATCCAATTTGAATAATTTTTAATCTTCTAAGAGAGCAAATATGACTTTTTCTAATATCACTAAAATTGTCTTAATCCAACATGTTAATCTATATCTATAACTATTTCATAATCTTGTCATGATTATGAATAAAACAATAATAAAAACGACCTTTTTTTATAGGATCTTTCAATGACATTAAGAACAAATACAGGAGGAATATTATTTTCATTTTTACTGGCATTTATAAGAGTTATTTCTGCCATAACCTTTCTAATATTTAAATTAAGTAATTTTTATAATTCCGAAACCATTTCCCGACAGGTTTCAAGATTGCAAAATCAAGTTTATCTGTAATTGGAATGTCGATCGAAATTCAGCCATATGTTCAACAATCTAATAATAGAAATTTGTATATAAAGCATCCTCAAATCACCCAAATTCTTCAGAGCTGTGCTCCATCAAAATAATATGAAATCTTTTTATTTTATAGTGATTTCAACTTTTTTAGTATTAATAAATCCATTATTCGTTCATTCTTATAAAACATTTTCGTATAATGAAACGGAGCCAGGATATCAAATTTATCAAGTGTTAACTTATCGGGATGGAACTTCGGTGGTTTACCTGACTAAACCTATAAATGAAACCTGCAACGAACCGAGAATCGATCTTCGTGTCATACATCCAAACGGCACAGTTGATGTTGTCAAAGTTAATTATCCAATCCCAGATTTTAATTTTTGTATTTTACCAGATGATATTACTTTGCATATTGTTCTTTTTCCCTATATGCCCGATTATATCTATGTTCTTTACGAGAACTCTACCGATATAAGTTCTGCAAGTTATTATGTATTACTAATCACCCGCACTGGAAAAATAATTAGGTTCGAATATTTACTTTTTATCTTAGTGGCGTACCGTGATGATTGTGAACTAACTTTTATATATATTTATTTCCTCCATATAAGTAATACGTTTCTTTCACGCGTTTACATATCCAATGGAACTTTATCCGTTTCTGGATCTATTATTCCACATTATAATGAAGAAATTGGCTTTCTTTTCTATGATTATCTAAAGTTAGAAAATATTTTGAAATGGATTTATTTTAGTAAGCCGTAAGTTCGCAACTATGAAATTATTATATCCATCAGCGTCAAACTGAGTATTAATATATTTAATTTGTTTTTAGTGACTCGGATGGAAATTTCCAACGAATAAATAGTGGTCAGATTGAATTCCAAAATTTATCAGATGTCATATCCGCAATTGATGGAGTCTTTGGAATAGTTACTAGTAAACATGCAAATATTTCTAAATATTCAAATAAGTCCCGTGATGATTTAATTGATCCAACCGAATCAACATATGAACTTTATATAACCTTCGTTGGACCAAATCAAATGGCTGTTGATGGGCCATTCTTACTTTACCAAACTTCCGTACCGAATTTACAAATTGAATCTATATGTAATACTGCTTATTCAACTAAGGGTTATTTTTGCATTCTGAATATAGAAGACAAACATTCTGAAGCACTTAAAAATTCTTTGATTAAAATAACATTCCAAAATTCTGGGTATGTGGCTTTTATGAAAGTATCCTTAATTTAATAATGATTTAATGATTTTGCATATTTTAATTTACAATACAGCTCTGTTGTTGAAATTGAAAACCTTCCGGATCTTGAATTATATAAAGGATTATCAGGATACTCAAAATTTGATAGTTTATATAATGGTGGTTTTTTATTAATAATTTTCAACCGTTCAAATGGTTCTATTTACGAAACGATTGTTCAATCCATTATTCTTGATAATAATGGAAATTATTACGGCACATTGGACCTTCCGGAAAATTTAAAAGTCTCTGATACAGGGGGTTTTCGAAATGGCACTTTTTTTGTTGTTCCCCAAGTAGATGATTATACTTGGAATATTTATTCAATAGATATTCCAAAGTTCTTTCCTAATGGTAAATTACTATTATGATCAACTAATCATTTATTTATTCATCAACTTACTTTATCTCGACCTTATATTACTAGATAATGGCTATAATAATCCAATTATTAAAGCTACCTATCCGTTAATTAATTCCAATATACCTTTATCATCAACAATTAATATTAATATTACTTATAACTTTCCAATAACAATATCAACAAATAATATCTCTATTTATCAACATAATAGTGAAAATTCTATATTGCGACAATCAGTTCCAGGCAACTCTCAATATGTAAATAGGGCTGGTAATCAAACAATAATTTTAGATGTTTTGGAAAGTACTTTTAATCAACCAAATGCAATTTATTACATTGCCATTAATGATAATGCTGTTAAAGATTGGCAAACGAACCAACCGCTAATTGGTATTGTAAATAATATTTGGAAGGTTAATACTAGTAAGTAAATATTTAAAATACCAAAAATAACATCATTTGAAGTTATTGAAGTTATATATTAACTACATTATTTTTTATACTATAGTTGATAATCAAGATATTTTTGCGGGTAATTATTACTCTTCATTTAATATGTAATATTTTAAAAGCTGTGTCCGATATTAAATTTTTTTTTTAAAAAATATTCAGAGGATGCAACTGGACAATTTTCTTTGACAATTGAAGGAACAAGATATTTCAAAAACCTTTCATCATATAATCAAACAATATTTTTATCACAATTAAGAATTGATTTAGCAAATTCAATACCTGTGAATATTAATAGATTAAATGTTATTAAATATGAATATGATGAAAATCAACAGCCTCCAAAAATCATTTTAACATTGCCTATTAAATCAATAACAAATTTAAATGAGAGAAATGTCGATCGTATCATAAAAGATTTAGATCTTTTGATTAAATATAAAGAAGTTACTCCTATATCTTGGTTTGGTACGACAAATCTTATAGATTCGAGATTTGGGTTTCAACGGACTAGTAAGTAGTTGAATGGAATTAACTATATCAGCTGAAGTAATAATCATTATTCAAATACTAATATTTATTAAATTATTTAGGGAACTTCTTTGACGATATTAAATTTCATTTGATTGGTATTGTTGTTGGAGTAATAATTTTATGCTTACTTTATTTTTACGCCAGAAAAAAACATTCTACGGTAAAGTGTTCAAACTTTATTAATATTTAAGTCGGACTGATATTAAATGTTGGTCTGAGTTAAATTTATTTAGTTAGGCTTTATATTTAAATTATTTTTATATTTTAGGGGAAAAATATTTTAATATTTAAAGTTACTTTAATTATTTTGGATTGTATTTTGGATATTTTATTTATTCCGGAGAATGGAAAAAATGTTCCACAATTATTTATTCCAAGGTATGTATGCATCAATCAATTTTTTTATTTTATTTTTTTATATTAATTTTTTTTTTATTAATTTAAATATTTTGCATTGTAGTATAATTTTCTGTGTAATACCGATGTTAATGAATTCCATAATGAGTATGATCATAATACTTCAAGAAATCATTCAAAATAAAGATTTTTATAAATGGTTTAAAAATAAGATTAATATAGCAGTTATTTTTACAATATTAGCTGGTGCTGATCTCGAAATATTAAATATACTTTCTTCTGAAGTTGCTGGAATAATGTTATTTAGTGCTCCTATTTCAAAAAAAACACAATCATATATATTTTGGGGAAGTTTTTTAGGATTTTTAATTGAGGATATTCCTCAATTTATAATACAGGTTAGCATTTTTAATTATTTATTTGATTTATAATTAAATTTAATATTTATTTATTTATTCATTTTTTTAACATTAGGTTCTCTATAAAAAACTTACTATTACATATAATATTATTCCTTTTTTTACACTTTTAACAAGTTCTTTAATTTTAATAAATAATATAATTTTTAGAATATATCATATAATAATAGTTCAACTATATGATAAATAAATATCTATTATAGAATTACTAATTAATTCAATTGATCAAAAAATAATATTTGATTCGATTCTTGAAAAAAATAATTTAGTATAATTAAATATATTATAGATATTTTATATAAATCAAAAGTATATAAATATTATAAATATTTTTTTATACATATATAAAAATTTACTAATTATAATAATTGTATTATTAAGCCGGCATTACGGCATTAAGAAATTAATCATGTGACGAATAAAAGATTACAAATATGAATTTCGCATCCCGAAAAATTATGTTCCCAGAATACTTATGAAAATGGAAAACGCAGAGGGCGTGATGCGGGTGACAAATATTTCTAGATCACGTGGGTGGAATTTTTTTGGGTAAGATGGATCTTTGCAATAGAAAGGAGGAAACTGGCGGTCAAAATATATTCAGATAATAAAAAATTCTATGTTCTGTATTAAATATATAATATAAATTTTATTACTTAAACATATGTATTTCATTATGATGCACATATTTACTTATTAAATCAAACTTGATTTAATTAAAAACTTGAAAGAACTTTTTCCGTCGATCTTAAATCCTCAGGCTGTGGAATGAAAAAAGTGTATTATTTATTTCCACATGAACAAAAAAATTTTTATCAAAACTGTATTTATTATTTGTTTTCTTATTTATGATATAAACGTACATAAATACTATGTTATATTGAAGTTTTAAAAAAAAATGCAAGTGAATTTTAAAAATGCAATTGAAAATATGAAGAAATATTACATTGAAAAAAAGTTGACACCAATCTATAATGCAAAGTTTACAAATGGAAAAAATGAATGAATGAATGCGAATATCTAAAAAAAAAAAATTTATGATGTATGATAATGATAAGATGAATTCGTTGTAATCTATGCTTATATAACAAGTTCGGCCATTAAGTTTATTTGGCTGAACCACCTCTAGCTATACAACTTCGGCAAGAACGTTTGCGATTCGTTTTTTGAATATTAAGTCCTTTTTGAGGATCTGAAATAGATACGTCGGCACAATTTAAATAGGTTTCACCTGATAATTTAGCTAACCATTTGAAACGTAATGTGCAATGATCGCAAGTAACATCAGTTGGTAATTGAATATTTGTTTGATTTTCTCCGATTTTATCCGCACAATTTGGAATAGATCCAATGGTTTTGAAATCAGTGTCACGGCCCGTCGTTGAAAGGTCAACGAAACATTCACCTTCATGAGCGGCTCCAATCTCCCATTTGATGTTGATAGATTGCCCAGAAGTGTAGTGCGTTAAAACATGGCCAATATTCTGACCTGATCCGCAAGGATATGAAGAAGTTGGAGAGCGGGTAATGGATAGATTATTTTCTACATCGCCCTGCGGAATACGGATTAGAGGTGAAGTCATATGGCCTTGACCAGCTACATTAATGACGAGAAGTAAAATAATTGCGAAAAAGGTTTGCATTGTTTTGCAAGGAAAAGACGATGATGTAAAAGAATTAAAGGGATTTGAAAAAAAAAGAATGTGAAGTGGACATATAACTGTCTAATAAATTTTGTACTGGTATCGATAAACTCTTCCGGAGAGTATGCCACACTATTTGAAAAGAAAGAATTGTAGATTGGTGTTTTTTTCAAATAAAAAATTGTAAGGTGGATTGAAACCAAGTTTTTAGTGGGTTTATATAACATGTGCATCATCTTTCCCATTCTCGACTGAGCGAATCGTCAAATATTAGTGTGACATTCTTTGTTAAAAAAAACAAAGACAATTTGATTAAAGAACTGTAAATACAACGATTAACTTGTCTAAATTTAGCAAACAAGTTGCTTAATTTAATATAGTAAGATAGGCGTTGTAAGTAATTACAATTAAATTCCAAATATTTAAAACAAAGGAAAATTTTTTGTTGCAATTGGAGGGATTTGAAATCTCCAATGCGATCTACAACCAGTCTTTCGTAAATGGAAATAATTTTTATCTACGGTTCCATGATACCTTGTCGCGATTAATTTAAAAATTTTGTTTTGTTTGGAGAAAATAAAGAACTTTTTTTTAAAAAAAAAATCTGCACAATTAGTTTACCTATTATGGAGTACAGCTTGTTTTTTCTACTGCCAATTTATACAACCTTTTTCTTAAAATTATTATAAGATAATTATTAGAAATTTTATTTTCTTTTGTAATTTTCAGAAATCTGTAATTTGGTGATACTAATCGGAACTAGGTTTAGAAATTCAAAATAAAATTATTTAAAATTGCAATTTTATAAGTGCGGAAGTTAAAAAATTACGTCCTCCTTATTTAATAAATAAGCCGAATTATAGTCTACTGCTTAACAAAACGATTTTACCAAATAAAAAATACTATTTAAAAAGGCTATGTGCACTTACACTGTAAATTTTCTTCAGACCTCTTTTTAAAAAGAATAAAATCCTTATTCTTCACAATGATAACATCAGCATTCAAATAATAGCATACTTGGGAACTAATTAAATCAAAACTATATATGGAGATCCTCGGGGCTCCACTTCCGTTTTTATTTTATTATGTATTATGTATCGGATAATTTCGGCCCAGTTCAGTAATGCCGGCTAAAAATCACGTGGATGAAAAATTTGTGGGAAATACTATCATGTGATTTGATAATTTTATGATGATCATATGCCTATTGGGCTAAGAGATTCCTTAACGTACATTCCATGTGTACGATCTTAATATACATGCTGATACATGTCACCCAGTATTACATCCTTCTGCGTTTCGTTTTTACTATATATTCTGGGAATTTTTTACTTATAAAAATCCTAATTGTCATATACTTTATGTCACCCCTATATTTTTTAATATTAGCCAAAATCTACAATGTCGGTTAGCATGTACATTAAAGACTGTACATATGGGGTATACGTTAAGGAATTTCATTAGGCTAAACTTTTTTTCCCATTTATAATTTTACCTGTAAACTAGTTAATTTTGTTCTTTTAATCTTAAATAAATAATATTTTTTTAAAAAATTAATTATTAAATATTATTACACATTTTATAATAAATAAAATAAATGTATTATAAGAAAGCTAATATTCTAAATAAATTGCTTATGAATTTTATTTTAAGTTATTAAAAGACTATCTTTGAGAAATCAATTTTTTTCACAATGATTGAAAAATTGATTATATAATTTAAATTGCAAAATCACATAATTTCTTACTAAACCTTGATTAATTGTAATATTTAAAATATTAATAATATTAAAATTCTTATTATTTCAAGTTTCTTCAAATTTATTTTTATATAAAGAACTATTATTACATTATTATTTATAATATAGAAGATATTAAAAGTTTTTAAACAATTTTTTACTTAATATAAAATGGAAAATTTTAATGCATAAATTTTCAAAGCTTAATTAATATTTTATTTAAAGTATAATAAGCTCTACATTTTATATTAAGCAATTAATATTTAATTATATCTTCCTTTACTAAAATTCCCGCTTATATTCATTTTAGTATACTATAACTAAATTTTCAATCAAATATTTCAGAATTGTATTCCATTCTTTTAAATACATTTTTCAAGTTTAGTAAGATTACTTAACTTTTTCTTTCGTTTTTAAATATTTTTTTAATTTTAGTCTATAAATTTTCAATCAGATTAAGGTTCAGACATTAAGCAAATTATAAAAGAATATATATACTTCTTTTCTGTATAAAATATTGCTACAATTTTTGATCTATAAGAAGTAGCATTATCTTCCTAAAATAATTCATTTCTATTTGAAAACATATGCTATATTATAAGCATAATATATTTTCAGAATATTTCAACATGTGTAACTTCAATTGCTAATATTTATAATAGCACAATTAATCTCACTTTCTATCAAAAAAGTAATTCCCATATATGTGATTAGTGTTGTGCTTAACTTTGACTGTAATACAAAAGAGTAACTATTTTTCAGTTGTTTTTTTCTATAATTTACTAATATGACTTTATTAAAACTAGCTAAAAGTTGATTTATTTTACAAAATCTTTATCTAATCATTCTTAGTTTAATTTTCATATTCTAAACACTATGCAAATTATGTTACTTTATTTGCAAATAAGATAAGAAGTTTATATTATATAATATTATTTCTTAATCTAAGTAAATAAAATGCATGATAGATAGTATTTCAGAAATATCTTATTCTATTTTTTTTAAAACTATTTCACTCTAATAATATATAATTATTAGTTTTGTGTTTTTTTATTTTTTACCAAATATTTAAGCTTTTTATTTACTAATTATTGTTAATTATAATCCCAATAAAAAATTTGATATAAAAATTCCATAAAAATATTAAGTTTTATAACGTATAACTTTTATGGAAAATCAG